TGGACCCCGGTACTCCCAGCATACTGTGGTAGCAGACAGCTTTCAGACACACACAACATGGCGCAGAAACAGGTCCACCTTCCGTTTCTTAAAAACCTCGCTGCTGTCCTCAACACGCCCATATTTTGTTTTAGTTTTTTTCCCCGGAAAGAAGTCGTTATAGTGGGCAGTAAACCTTTTAGAGGGGAAAATATTTGATGCCTTTACAAAAAAAATTAAAAACGAGGTTACATCACAAAGGTTAAAGGGCGAACAGCCGGTTGTGCTCGACAGGTACAGGGCGCTCTGCGTTTGTGTGGGTCCGTCTCGTCGGCTTTCTTTCCTGGGCGACTTTGTTAACTGTAGAGTTTGTATATTTTTCTGATGACCTTTTTCATGTGAAACTGATGTGCCGTTTAGTTAGGTTTTACAGCCCGGCGGGCTCCAGGCCAGATCAAGTCTTTTTTTAGCCCGGCTCTGTAGCGCTGACCCCAGCGTTTACATCCCTTCAGTAATAACGACTTGATTTACACACATCGTCATGCAGATGTCCCACTGTCTGCAGTTTTAAAGTCCATCCCGCTGGGCTGTGTAGCCTAATTAAACGCATGAGAATAAACACGTAAATATAGCTGGATCTGGCTTCAGAGAAAGACCGACTCAGCCCGTTTTAAGCTACCGCGGTCATATTTTGAAAAGTTGACCAAATTTGGGTTGCTGTGTGGGTAAATGGTAACTTGAAAAACCAAAAAAAAAAACCCAAAAAATTTTATTTTGGGTTGACGTGTTTTAAAGAAGCGACAACTGCAGTGGGTTTCAAAGGCGTGTAGATTGGCCTCCGATTTGTGAGAGCAGCGCAACGACACGGAGCGACACAAGATGGCGCTCTTCCCAAAATAAACGAACATGAAGGTGATTTGTCCCGATTCGGTGCTGGCCGAGTCTGGAACAAGCTGCCCACCCGTGTTACTGCACCCGCTGCCCTTGGATCAGTCAGCTACTAGATAAACAAAGGGAATAGATGGGCTGCTTGGTCTTTCTTACATTCTTGGAAGTCCTGTTCTTCCCTTTAAAACACACAATAAATGCACTTATCAGTTTTGTTTTGGTCCAGTTATTGGTGATATATCCCTCACTAGGAGTGACGTGACTTGGTCAAATTGCCCTTCAGACTGTACCTGTCTAAGTAAACCCCTCTGTGACTTTCTACGTAAAGGAACACTGTAGCTGAGATTTCAGGCTTGAAGGCCCCTTCACATCAGCCTGCTGTCCTGTCCTTGCTGTTCCAGCACAGTCATGGCAGTGGACTGGATTGGGTTTGGCTATGCGGCGGCGGTGGCTCTGGGGGGCTTCATGGGGTACAAGCGGAAAGGTACGTGCCTCTGTTCTCGTTACTGTTGCGAGGCTTCAAAATTTATTTTAAATGTCACCAAAAGCTTATAGTGCAGAAAGGTACCAGTACAGTAAGTGCCACTCTTGTGCGGACACAAACCGATTGAGTAACTGTAAATTGATACCGTCTTTCTGGGGTGGATTTGTACAGACAGCTTGATAAGTGGTTCCAAGTTTGAAATAAAAACTGCTGCAAAATATTGTCCTTCTGTAGCACGAGTTCTAGCCTTTTGCTTTGTGTGCTCCTGCAGGCAGTGTGATGTCACTGATTGCTGGTCTGCTCTTCGGCTCCCTGTCTGCCTTTGGGGCCTATCGGCTGTCGATCGACCCAAGAGACGTGAAGGTTTCCCTTGGTGAGTATGGTGGGCGTCTGCCCCAGGACCAGAGAGGGCTGGCCACA